CAGGCACCCCAGTGGGAACCCCCACCCTGAAGGGTGTGTGACCAGCTGTAAACAGCCATCATCCCCTCATCCAGGCTGGCCAGGCACCCCAGTGGGGACCCCCACCCTGATCCAGGACACCCTTCAGGGCAAACCAGCCGGCCCCCACCCGTGCACCAGGCCTCTATCCTATATAGTAAAAGGGTAATATGCCTCCCAGCACTGGGATCAGCGGAGCTGAGAGGCCTCCTGGCACCGGGATCAGTGTGACAGGGGGCAGCGCCCAAACCCCCTGATTGCCCTGCGGCTCTATGTGTGACAGGGGGCAGGGCCACAACCTCCCTATCGGCCCTGGTGACAGGTGAAGGCACCCCAACCCCCTGATCGGCCCTGCTCTGTGGGTGATAGAGGGCGGCGTCCCAACCCTCCCTCCCCCAAGGGCCCTGCTCTGTGTGTGACGGGGTAGAGCCATAACCTCCCCATCGGCCCTGCCCTGAGTGTGACAGTGGCGGCGCCCCAACCCCCTGATCGACCCTGCTCTGTGGGTGATAGAGGGCGGCGCCCCAACCCCCTGATCCGCCCTGCTCTGTGTGTGACAGGGGGCTGTGTGCCAACTCCCCTATCGGCCCTACTCTCTGAGTGACAGGGGGGAGCTCCCCAACCCCCTGATGGGCCCTGCTCTGTGCATGAAGGGGGGAGCTCCCCAAGCCCCTGATTGGCCCTGCTCTGTGCGTGACAGGCGGCGGTGCCCCAACCCCCCAATCGGCCCTATCCTGAGCGTGACTGAGGGTGGCATCACAACCTCCCAATCCGCCCTGCTCTGTGCATGACAGGGGGCGGCGCCCCAACTCCCCAATCGGCCCTGCTCTGAGCCCAACCAGGGGCTGCACCTAGGGATTGGGCCTGCCCTCTGCCACCCAGGAGCAGGCCTAAGCCAGCAGGTCGTTATCTCCCGAGGGGTCCCAGACTTCGAGAGGGCACAGGCAGGGCTGAGGGACTCCCCCCTCCCCCCCGAGTGCACAAATTTTTGTGCACCGGGCCTCTAGTCATATAATATTTGTCCTCTGTATCTGGTTTATGTCACTATTCCACATACACTTTTTTAAAAAAGCATCTACTACGTGGATAAATAATATTATGAAACATTTTTTTCCTGAAATGGTTTTAGAAAGACAGAAAACAGATCTTGTGCAATGTGTGGACGTGCCTTGGACAAAGTAGCAACGGTCTCTGGTGTTTCCTAGAAACCCTGTTGTAACATTTAAAAGATTAACTAGTTGCCCAGCTTGCTAATGCCCTCCTATTTCAGAAAATGAACTGAAATAGCCACCAGGTACTTCCCATACATCTTGACTCATATACGACAGGGTTCTTTAAATGGGGCTCCTAATGGGTTTCAGAAGGTCCAGAAATCTCTTCTGAAATTGTGTGCACATTTGTTGTATGCTAGTCTTTCTGAAGAGAAGTTCTTTAGCATTCGGAGATTGTTAGTCAGAGAAAAAAAGGCTAAACACCATTGCTAAATGGGGTAATTAATGCTGCATCTTCCTATGAAATACACATAAAAGCCCAAATCATCAATTAGTTTGTCTAAGTATATGATTAATGAACCCATACCAAACGATAAGCTTCTGACATAGTCCATAGAAGAAATAAGTCTGTGACTGAAAACTTAAGTATAGACTTCTATACTTAAAAAAAATAACATGGCACACACTTTGGTAGTATGTAGAAGACAACATAGCATCAAGGGTTTGTTAATACAACTCTTACGTAAGTATATTGAGGGTTTTTCCATTCATTTCATAAATATCCATTGAATAGCCCCTTTGTGTCAAACATGGTCTCAGTGCTCAGGATATAGCAGTAAATGAAACACTGCTTCTACCCCCATGGGGCTTGCATCCTACTGTAGAATGTGAAAAAAGAAATGACAGTTTTCAGATAACCATAAGTGTGCCAGTGAAATTGGATGAAGATAGCCTGGAGATTTTATGTTCAGGTAGAGTAGTTGGGGAATCCCTTTCTGGGGAGATGGCATCTGGGCTGACATTGGAAGGGCAAGAAGAACCAGCCATGGAAAGAGCTTGGAGAAGGACATGCCAGGCAGAGGGAACAGAAGTGCTGAAGCTTGAGCTGTAGGTAAGATGGGAGGTCCTGAGTGCTCAGGGCTCATCACCACCCTTCATTCACTGTTTCCTCACACAGGGCTCATTCCTCCTCTTCTAGTCTCAGCTCCTTATCCTCTTCTTTTACATCCATTCACCTTTAGCAACAAGCAGGATTCCAGCCCTCAATGCTCCTTCTCCCTCCTACACCATCCCTTTGAGCCCTTGATGGCTCCACTGCCTTGCCGTGTGTGCATACATTTCATCAACCCAAGCATGTGCTGAGCTCCTCGAGGAGAAGGATGACTGCTTCTCTGTGAACATTGTCATGGGCAGCAGAGAACAGAGCCAGTCGTGATGTCAAGGTGGGCAGGATGGCCAGGACAGCCAGGACCACCAGTGCAGCCATTTAGGTTGAGCCTCACAGGCACAAGGATCCTCAAATCAGATTTGGCCATTACTTGTCACACATAGGGTATGACCACATTTGTGTGTTAAAAGTGCAAGATATTAAACATTTAAATATACCACACATACATAACATATACATATACCATAATAGCGTTGTTTAAAGATAGAAAACAAAAATTGGAAGTGGCCTAGGTTTCTCTTACCCTGAAAGGCTTGAGTTTAAAGAGAATGAGTTTTAAAGGAAAGTGGCTTGGAATCAAATTCTAGCTCTATAATTTCTTGACTGGATAACTTTGGGCAGGTTTTTAATTTATGTTGAACAGGTATAAATATTGGGAATAATTGTGTTCAGGATGGATTATAATAAAGGCTTACCCATACTGAATTTAAATGAGATATAATTTAGATAAGATTTTTGGAATTTCAGTTGACATTGTGATGGGATGAGACTTTGGGGATCTTGGGATGGGGTGAACCTACTTTGCATGTGGGATAGGCATGGCTCATTTCAAGCAAGTGGGCAAACTGTGGTAGGCAGAATGACCTCACAGAGGTCCTCATCCTAATCCCCAGAACCTATGACTACATGGCAAAAGAGACTCTATAGATTTAGCCCTAAGGTTATAACCTAGAGATGGAGACATTACTAATCACTTGAGTCCTTCAAAGTACAAGAGAAATAGGTCAGAGTGCTAAGAGATAGAAGAATTAAGGCTGCCTTTGCTGGCTTTGAAGATGGAGGAAAGGGATACCAAGCCACAGCAGTATCTAGAAGGAAAATCCAGTAAAACAGATCTTATCTACTGAGAACTTACAGAAAGAAACGGCCCTGCCGATATCTTGATTTTAGTGCAGTAAAGCTGCTTGACTTCTGAGCTATAGAACTGTAGGAAAATAAAATTTGCATTGCTTTAAGCCACTAAGTTTGTGATGATGTTGCAATAGCAGTAGAAAACCATTACAGTACCTAATTTATAAGGAGGTTCATTTTATTAACAAAAAAAGATGTAAAGAGGTAGGTAATTCCTGTGGGGAGCCAATATAGGGTTAAGCCTCGGACTGACCTGTTGGCAAAGTCACAAACAAGTCCCAGCTTAGAGGGCACAGTCCTCTTAAGCATAGTTAGGCTTGACCTTATCACGCTCCCTAGATCTTATCTGGGAAGCTAATGGGATGAGAAAAGTGCAGCAAGTGGCCAAAACAAGTGAAACTCACAAGAACAGTGTAACTATGGTCAAAACAAGTGAAACTCACAAAAACAGTGTAACTATGGTAACCACTACCTTGTTTACCTCTGACTATAAAATAAAGGCTCAGTTTGCCTTGGGATCTCTCTCTGTGGCCTCAACTAGGCACAGGAGATCCACGGAGACTAAAGAGAGCTAGAGAGTTCTGAACGCTGTCTCCGCTGTCTCCGTGTAAAACATTCTTCGCCGACTCCGTCCACACCTTTGGGAACCCCTGGACCCCCGGGGCTGGACCCCAGCAAATTCCGAGATGGTATAAATGCAACCAATGACCTATGTAGAACTATCTTCAAAGGACTTTATTTTCTAGAGATAATAAAAACTCCAAGATTATGACAGATAGTCCTAAGAAAACTGCCTAAAGCAGGGGTAGCAAACTCAAATGCATATGTGGGCTTTGCCGGTAACATGCATAAGGGAAATAGGCAAGTTGGATGCTGCTGCAGATTGGAGGAGTGGCCCCACTTAAGGGACAGACCTTAGCCTAGCTGACTGATGGCAATGAAAATGCAATGCAGGTCCAGGATTCTGAGATACTTCAAATTTTCAAGAAGCAGAAATCCACATCTTCTTCTGCTATGAAATCCCATGTTTACATGTTGGAAAACCACATTTAATCAGACAAGCATATCTTATTACAGGTTTGGTTCCAGGCTACCGATATAAAGCGAGTTGTACTAGTAATCTTTTTGCTGGTGGAGGGTCTTGCATTCAATTTGTAAAAGATGCGACATCTGTGAAGTGCAATAAAGCCAAGTACAATAAAACGAGGTATGCCTTTATAGACCCCCGCACACAATTTTTAGGCAAAATTTTGGTTATGTCTACATTTAGCCCCTCAGGTTAGTATCTCTAGCCAATTAGTGAACACATGAAAAGCCCAAAAAAGTAAGCTACTTTTTTGTTGTTGTTTATTTATCATCACCCAGGGGAGAGACAGAGAGATAAACATCACTGTGAGAGAGACGTCCATTGGTTGCCTCCTGCATGCACACTGACCAGGCTGGGGATCCAGCCTGCAACCAAAGTTCATGCCCTTGACCAGGAATTGAACTTGAGAGCCTACAGTTTGAGGGCCAGCACTCTAATCAGTAAGCCAAACACGCTAGGACAAGGTAAGCTATTTTTTAATGCATTTTTGTGGGCTCTCTCATAGTCTTACATCATAAAATCATACTTTGCACTGATTTTGGTAGTTTACCCAAATCTAAGAAACAATGAGTTTTATGAAATTAAACAGAAGACAACTTCAAAATGTGTTCAAATCCAGTTTTATTAGAATTTGAGACTAGTACAAAGTCTTTGACTATGACCACTGGACACACCAGACATGAGTTTATGTTTTTGGTTTGTTGCAGGTTTGGATACATCTACTTTTCTAAATCGTTTGCCCCTCATTTCATTACCAAATGTCAAAGTACTTTAAGTTTCTCTATCTACAAAACCCTATTGTTTATAGAACAGGAATTTGTAAAATATGATTGAAAAAATAAAATCCACAGATCCCAAAAATTCTCTTCAAATATTAAGAACATACAAAGTATACTAAAGACATCTACATTTAGTTATCCAAGTCACAAGGCAGGCATTTGATGTCTGTAGTTTTTATATGTTGTTAATTATAGTTCAGAGACCCAAGTGTTCCCAAAAGCTATAAAACCCTTCACTGACATTCCCAGTATGGTTCCAATAGATTTAGAACAGGGGTGGGAAATACTGGTCAGCGGGTTGTATAAGGCCCGCAAAATCGTTTGGTCTAATGCTAAGGCATTAGAGGTGAATTAATTAAATGTCTGACCAAAATATAGCAATCTAACTTTTAAGTTGATATTTTTATGGCCAGAGGATGATATTATAAATATCCAAATGGCCCTTGGCAGAAAAAAGGTTCCCACTCCTGATTTAGAGAATAACACCAGGAGAGTACTTGATTTGGCCTTTAAAATCACAAGCCCCTTTTTTTTTTTTTTTTTCCTTTAGTGAGATTTTTCTTCTGTAGTTGCTTAGGGAACTATTTGCTTCCTTAATGCCTTATAATTAGCATCTGCCTTACAGGAGATCTAAGTATTGGCTTTGTAAAGTGTATGACTGAACAGCAAATGGCGGGTGCTCGCTCCTTAGTTGTTCTCCAGTGATCCTGAAGTTGCCTGTAAGAAGGAAAAAAAGAAAGCTCTGTAAAAATCTTCATACCAGACATTTCAGCTTGTTCTAAGTAGTTCTGCTTTCTTATCAGTGTATGGAAACTCAGCTATGCAGTGGAGCCCTATTGTTTTGTTCCTGTCTTAAGAGTAGCTCTTGGGAATCAAAATACTGAAAACAAAGCAGGGCAATCACCTGAGAAAATTCTGCCCTGGCTTTTCTCAAAGGCTGTACTTTTGTAAGATCCATGAGAATTACTTTCGGTCTTTACATTCCCCTAAATAGCCAACTTATTTAGCCAGAGGTAGAAGAGTGCCATGCCATATTACCATTGGTTGCCTTATTATTTTTAGATGGAAACACCTGTTCCTCAAGGGGAACATGCTAGTCTACATGATCATCTACTGTCGTTTATTTGTGGTCTGAATAGCATCACTACTGAAAGAAAAGGCAATTTGCAATCAAAATAGGCATGTTTTTTTATTTGTATAATCGGAATAGGGTCTCAAACTTTGGAAAGGTTAACTCTGCAAGTTATTTGTGTTGTCCCAGCAAATTAGACCTATTAATATTAAGTCACAGCTGAAATTATATCAAATATATTGTACTCTTATTTCTCTAATAAATGAAAACATTTTCTTTAGAAATGAGCATACTTTTGAACTTAATAAATCTTTGCATCTAATTTAGATTTATTTATAAATTGAAAATATAGTCTCCAAAGTTAATGAATTAGGATATAAGGAGCCTTTCCCCTAAGTTAAGGTTCATTTAAACTTCAATTTGAGAATACTTAAAATATTTAAGTAATATCTAGAACAAAAAAAGCAATGAATACAGTGTAATGTTACCAACCCAGAAAACACTAAACCAAGGAGAGAAATTATACTTACAAATGGAGTCCTAATTCCAAATTTGCTATGGAATGTCATGGTAACTTTGTTTTTATATCCTGTTCTTTGATCAAAGGTTTGGCATGTATCAAAAGGTGGGCTGTACAAATGAAGGCTCACAGCAGGTTCCGTATGGCTAATATTTTCTACTCGATGTAAGCCAATGGAATCTAAACAACAACCAAGAAGAACAAATGAAGGATTTTAGAGGATTGCTGCAGGTAAATTTTTTGTCAATCACCTAAGATCATAAATCAATTGGGTACATTAGGAATGGAATTTCTTGTTAAAGAAATAAGGCACATGCACTCTGTTATTTCCTGAAAACATCCTACAATGTCAATAAAAGACTAAAAAAGGCATCAACATACGTAGAAAAAGAGAAAACATTAATTTTTCTCTTTTTAAATTTAAATTTAAAAAATATTTAAAAGCTTGAATGTACAGTTGACTCTTGAACAATATGGACATTAGGGGTGCCAACTCCCACACCCTATAGTCAAAAATCCACATATAACTTTTGACTCTCTTAAAACTCAAGTTGTCCCCAAGTATCGATGGGGGAATTGGTTCCAGACCCCCCTGTATATGCAAATCTGAGGATGCTCTAGTCCCCCACCCCCCTGTATAAAATAGCATTCATCAAAGCATACAGTCAGCACTCCACATCCGTGGACCTCCAACTCGAATTGAAAACATTACAGGTACTTATTGAAAAAAAAAAAAAAATCTGGGTATACATGGACCCGTTCAGTTCAAACCTAAATTGTTCATCATTAACTATAGATGAATAGCTTTGCAGGAGAAAGAAAGCTAAATATTCATTCCTACATGGAGATAGCCAAGAAATAAAGTGATTTATATTGTGAAACTCCCCCTCCCCGCCCAAACAGCTCAGGAATTGACAGCATGGGTATTTCTGAGTATGGGGAAGAAGATGGGGCTAAAAGTACAAGAACTGGTTAAAAGCCTATTTCAGTTTAGAGTCTTACATCCCTTTTACCACTTCTCCCTCTCCTTCCTTCTGGTAGAAGTCTGAGATCTGGTCTCTAGAAAGAATATAATAGATGAACTCAGGACAGGTGAAAACGAGGTGACCAAAGTGAAAATTTACATATTGAATGAGAAGAGCCCCACTTTCTTCACCACATAGCTGCCAGAATGCTTCCAGATAGGAATTTTCTTCTCCAGGAAGGAGATGGGAAGCAGTTTCTCAGGGAATCTGATTGGCTCAAAAACAAAGAACAACTGCCACTGGTTGTTCATCAAGAAAAAAAGCTCTGCCAGATTAGCCTAGAATGAAGTCCAGTGTTTAGAGCTACCAACTGATATTTTTTGTCCCTGGTTTTTAAATATTAGCACACAGCCAAGGTCACCAGACATTTGAGCAAGCCCCCTAGTATGAAACACAGAGGCCAGAGCAACCTAAAAAGAGCAGCTGGAAACAGACATAATTCAAGAGAAGGCTTAAAAAACAAACCTATCATTAATATCCTTAGAGAGATAAGACAAAATATTATAAAAGGACCAGAGAATAAAAAGAGCTTTTAGAAATAAAAACCCGAATAGAAAGGTTGGAAGAAAAACTAAGGAAGCTGAGGAAGACTCACAGAACAAAATAACAAAGATAGAAAATAGGAAAGAAAGACAAAGAAAATCGAGAGGAGGTTTAATATCTGAGCAATGGGAATTTCATAAACAGAGCAAAAAAATAAGTCAAAGGAATAACTATACAATATTTGCTTGAATGGAGGGAGAGACATGAGTTTCCAGATTGAAAGAACCCACTGAGTACTCAGCACAATGAATGAAAGTCATGCAACATGGTATATATCACTATAATATTGGAGACAGAGAAAATATAACAGAAGATATCTCAAAAGTCTCTAGAAAGGAAAAATAGGTTTCATAGAAAGATTCAAGAATCAGAATGACAGTAGATTTTCAACAAGAAGATTGAAAGCATTGGCTGGGTGTCTCAGTTGGTTAGAGCACTGTTCTGATATGCCAATATTGCAGGTTCAATCCCCAGGTCAGGGTACAAACAAGAATCAACCAATGAATGCATGAATAAGTGGAACAACAAATCAATGTTTCTCTCACTCTCAAATCAATAATAATTTTTTTAAAAAACAGAATATGATTATATTTAATGCACAAGTTTGATACAACCAAAAAGTAAAACAGCAGAGTAAAATAGTAACAAAAAACATGGTATATCATTTGCAATGCATGACAATTGGTTAACATCTTTAGTTATAAACAAGCTCTTAAAATCCAGTGACACTATAATAATGCAAGGAAGCTGGAAAAATGAAATGAAAAAGTACAAGTGATGATTAAGCAGTGAGCATATATGATTTTGCGGAGCAGTGATGAAGAATAACTTCTCTGCAGTGTCAGTGAGCAGAATAAAGACAATGACACTAATAATAATTTTTTAAGACCAAAAACTAAACGATACGGCATTACCTCCACTGTTCTGAGAGAATGTGATTGTCCGGTCAGAATTCCATATCCAGCTAAATTAGCAATCACATTGCAAGGGTTGAATACAGAGATTTTAGATACATAAGGTTTCAAAAAATTCCTTTCTAGAACCCTTTCTCATAGAGCAACTGGAAGATATGCTCCACTAAAACAAAGGCCTGAACCAAGAACGAGGCAGAAATGAGATCAGGAAACAAGGATATTAGCAAAAGAAGATGGCAAAGGAAAAGCCCGGATGATGTGAGGGGACCCCAGGATGACAGTGGAGCCGTGGCCTTGAGATCAACCACTCCAGATTGAAGCTGGTGTAAAGGCCCTGGAGGAGATGTCTCAAAGAAAATTAAAATAAAGAAATAATGACAAGATATATGATTTTGAAAAACTACGCTGAGAAGAAATTTATAGTTAGAAGAGGGTTTGAGGATGAGTCAAGGAAGGAATTTAGTGTAATTAGTGTAGCTAATGTAGGCACCACCCAATTTGGCCTTATGCTTTATGATCTAGCTCCACGAGGTTGCGTGATAAAGAGCAAAGCCTGGAAGCAGAGGACTTAGGTTCTACTCCCGGCTAGACTACCCTGAAACAACTCACAACTTCTAGAACCCTCAGTTTTTCTCACTTCTAAAAATGGGCCTGATTCTCAGATCCGTAAACTCTTTAATTCTATAGCTTACTTCTTTCATAAGATACTGGCTTAAGCACAATCTTGAACAAAAGTTCAATATTCCTAAGAACTGACTGCCCCTACACAAATTATTTGTTTCTCCAATTGCAAATACATACACCACCCAATGCACGCTGCAAAAACTAATGACCTGTCCGCTAGAGAAGTTCCTGAGGCTCATGTCTGATCCCAATTGTTAAGAATTCCAGCATTATTATTTTTGGTCTTTGCCTCTTTTTCTTTGCCCCCATGGTGCACCCTCTGTCACAGTAATTCTGAACTTGGTGATACTTATGGATGCCAGTTTGATCCTGGCCATATCCATCTTTTTTCTATTACAATAGGTAACTTGGTCTCCTTGCCCCAATTCTCCCTTTCCTCCACCCTATGTTGCACACTGCTACCATATTGATCAAGATATTTCCTCCCAAAATTCTGCTCACCAAAGCAAGCTCTTACTTTAGGCTGGTCTTAGAGGCCTAGGACCTGATCTCACTTTACTCTCCCCTACTCCTGTCCATGCCCATTCTTCCTTCTTCCCTCCAGGTAGACCATTCCTGACGAGTTTTTATTTTTCGCAGTGACTATGCCTTCACTCGTGCTCTTCCCTGTACTTAAAACATCCTTCCCACTGACCAGTATCTATCTGCACTCCTCCTGCACCTGTAATAATAAAAGGTTGTAAATATGTGATTTTTTAATCATGTGAGTAATTAGTCTACAGAAATATTTAGCTTATTCCACCCAATATTTTACCAATTGGCAAAATTTCCCATATGAACATCAGAATTTCCCACTTCTATGGAAAAAGAAGTCAGGATGATCTTGCTGCCCCGTGGCTTGCACACATCAGTCCCCAAGCCTTATTCCCAGCCTGCAGCACTCATCCACCATGTCTGTTTGGCTCCTATACTCTTCGCATTGTAGACTCTTCACCTGTTCTTCAAGATCTATCTAGGTTCACAAAGACTCTGTGACTTGCTGAAAGTAATTATTCTGAAAGCTTTTTTGCTTTTCTGTGAGTTATATGGGCAACAAACTTGTTCTTGAAAATCTGGTGTGCCTCATATATAGGAACCCTCAAGAGTTTTCTGCTATGTAAGAAACTAACACCTTGTGTTATGTGAACGAGAAGAAAAGCTTCCCACACAGTAGTCTGCAGTCTTATCTGCAGTTTCACTTGCTGCAGTTTCAGTTACTTGCAGTCAACCATGGTCTGAATATATTAAAAGGAAAATTCCAAAAATAAACAATTCATAAGTTTTAAATTATATGTTGTTCTGAGTAGTGTGATAAAAATCTCCCGCTCCATCCCACCCAGATGTGAATTATCCCTTTGTCCAACCTGCTGTATAGGCTCCCTGCCCTTTAGTCACTTAGTAGCTATCTTAGTTATCAGACTTACAGAGAGAGGCCACATTTACATAACTTTTACTACAGTACATTGCTATAATTGTTCTACTTTATCATTAATCATTGCTTTTACTCTTACTGTGCCTTATTTATAAATTATACTTAATCCCAGGTATGGGAAAGAAACATAGTATATATAGGGTTCAGTACTAACTACAGTTTCAGATATCCACTCGGGGGTGCGGGGTGAGAGGGTGTCTTAGAACGTTTACCCCTCAGATAATGGGGAACAACTTTGTAATCTGACCTTTCTAAATGTACTCTGAAACTAATGAACAAATTTAAGCCAGTACCAAGGCCAATATCTGTCTTTAAAGAAGATCCTGCTTTGCCAGAAAAATCTCTATAATATCTTATTATATGTAAGTGAAATAGCATCCAATAAGAGTATGGCCCTTGGAATCAAATTGCTTAGGTTTGAATACTGGCTGCCATTTAAAAGTTGAGTAATGTGGACAAGTTATTTAATCTCCCTATGTGTTGGAATTTCATCTGTAAATGGGAATAAATGATCTCATATAAGCATAACAAGCTTTCTGAGAAGTTATTATCCCCTTTAAGAATACAGATGTTAATCACTGCCTCCCCTAAAAAGCATTTGGCTTTCCATATCACATTCAGGGGAAAGAATGAATTCTTAGTGAGAGATCTATAAATCACTGCTGAATAATGTGCTTTGTTAAGTTTCCCTTGAGAATATGCTTTTAAGTATATCATTTTAGAAAAATAGGGACTAGCTAGCATTCATAGCTATTTCCAGAACATTGCTTTACATTTTCTTTTTTTAAAATGTTTCTTTATTCATTGATTTTAGAGAGACAGAGGAAGGGGAGGGGACAAAGAAAGAGAGGGAGCAGGAGAGAGAGAGAAACATCAATTTGTTGTTCTACTTATTTATTTCCACCTTGGTCTCACTCCTTCATTAGAAGACATAAATTCATATTCAGTTCTAACTATCCTAAGATTTGGCATGTAAATGACGTTTCAGTCGGCACTAATCTACAAGCATGTGTTTCCAATAAGTGCCTCTAGTTCAGATGCAAAACTTTAAAAAGCAAAACCCACTGCTCTCAGGCCCTTTTCCAAGCATTTGAAATTAGTGACTTTGTGATCCAAGTTCTACTGCACATGTGTAAGTAACCAATATTTCCGATGGGATTTACAGCTTTTTCCCACTTGCCCTTAGGAAAAGGTTTGGATGTTACCGTTGATGTAGGCACACTGGTTTTCCCTCAAGATTCTTTCAGACTTCTTGATCATCTCGTTGGACTTTTTGTCAGGCCAGGCAAACAATGTCTCCTTTAGATTTCCCTGCAGCATCTTCAGAAAGCAGTGGGAGTTGGTGTGGTCATGGATACTGCTATATAGACACAAAAGGACAACTGAACTCAGCAGATGGTCCAGTACCCAGACCTGCAGTAACAGTCAGCCCAGAGCTGAAAGCTGCACACTGTCAATAGGACATCTCCCAGGACAAAATCCATTTCAGCTGAATTTTGAAATGTCATCAATTTATAATTCAACATTGTGCAATATAGAGAAAATGTCTGCCACATCAATGTATATAAGAGGTTTTCATACATACCCCCTATTAAAGACCAGTTAATTTTTTTAAACCCTGTTACAATACTACTTTCACGAGAAACACAAAACCAGCAACCTTTTATCTTCTCCAAGATACAGCTTTTAATAACTCAGTTAAGTGACACTAAAACTTGATCATAAAACTACATTCGAGAATTTTTAGGAAGGACAAAAATAATCATCTATAATCATTGCATCACACTGAGAAGATCACTTAACATTTAATGATTTTTCCCAGGGTTTCTCTCTTTTATCCTTCCTTTGAGGGACAAAAGGTATATGTATCCATTGCCACCATCTTAAAATTATACTATAATATATATATATAATGTTAACATTTTGTAGATTTAGAGCAGCCATAGGCAAACTACGGCCCGCGGGCCGGATCCGGCCAGTTTGAAATGAATAAAACTAAAAAAAAAAAAAAGACCGTACCCTTTTATGTAATGATGTTTACTTTGAATTTATATTAGTTCACACAAACACTCCATCCATGCTTTTGTTCCGGCCCTCCAGTCCAGTTTAAGAACCCATTGTGGCCCTCGAGTCAAAAAGTTTGCCCACCCCTGATTTAGAGTATCCTACCTATGATTACATCCCAATATTTGCGGGGGAAAGAAAGTAAATTTGATTTGGGAAAATAATATATTCATATAAGCTTATAGTTAATAGTATTTAAGTTATTAAGTAGGATTAGTTGTAGGGATGATTAAAATATATACATATGTACCATAGGAAGAACTTGTTTCCTAAATTCACAGAGGCTAGTCCTACTCTTTATATGTAATCTGCTTTGAAAAAATATTGACTAAGGGAAAACTGTTCCACTCTATATGAATATATATATATATATATATATATATATATATATATATATATGTATTCTATAAGCCTAATTTTCCAAAACCTTATGAACTCCTGTTTCCTTTCTCCCATCAAAAATGGGTCTGGATTATTGTCTCGCCATTCTCAAAAGACTGAGAAGGATCTGTTTAAAGAGATACTAATACTCAATTGGTAATAATGCTGGCAAATGTTTAAACTAAGGATAATTAAGGAACCAAGTTTCAAAGAATTGGTATTAGTTTAAGTTGCCTTATTCTCTATATAAAGAAAGGAAACCATAAACTTGAAGTGAAAAGAAATTGTTTCAATTCGTGAATTGTTTTTCTAGCTCCAAATCTGGACACTTAGGTCTTTAGTCCCACCATTATTTACACACTTCAAAATACAAAAGTCAAGTTTTAGCACAATCCCATAAAAGTTTGGAGAGAGAATAAGTTAAACTGATTACCACCTATTTGATTTATTACTCATTTTGGGGGCTGGTTTTGATATTCATGGTGTATGCCTAAACCCTTCATGCTAATTTCCATGTGATTTTTTGTTAGGATTAGGGGACAAATAATTATAAAATGAGATTTGTTAGTTCTCTCAAGACTTGTGGCCAGCCTGGCACTGTACACTGCATATTCTGGAATAGACACTCTAATAAAAATCTGTAAATAGTTGTATTACCTGCCATGTCCTTCACCCCAACATAGAATCATCAGATTAAATTTTCCATTTCCTTGATCCACAAGATTTCGGGTGTACCTGAAAGGAATGTATTCAGACGTTTGAATTTGGTTGATGAAACAAGCACTGGTAAAAATAAGTGTGTCACAAAGTATCATTCATTTACAGATGCTATTATTTCTACCTCTAAGCAACTATGAATGTGGTTTTCTTTTTTAAAAAAAATATTTTTATTGATTTCAGAGAGGAAGGGAGAGGGAGAGAGACAGAAACATCAATGATGAGAGAAAATCATTGATTGGCTGCCTCCTGCGTGTCCCCTACCGGGGACAGAGCTCGCAACCCGGGCATGTGCCCTGACTGGGAATGGAACCATAACCTCCTGGTTCATAGGTAAACACTCAACCATGAGCAACGCCAGCCAGCTGAATGTGGTTTTTAAAATCCAGCACAAATGAAAAGTATTTTTCCCAGTTCATTTTAGACATTTTTATATTTTGAATCGCTGCATTTACAGCTGCTCAGTTTTAATTAATGTCATGGAAAAGTTAACAGGAAATAAAATAAATTCCTTTATTCTCCATGTGACTGCCTCAGATTCAAAAAGGTTTCTCACAGAAGGTAATTGCAAAGTGGATTAGTGCGCTAGGCAAGAATGTTGCTATTGTATTGTCATGTGTTTTCCCTGGATAGATAAACTTGAATTTGAGAAACAAGGTTTTATTAAATAGCTGTTCTAGAATTCTCCTTAGTTTTACTATAGCCCAGCTACAAACCACATTCAAAAGTACCCTTAATGAAAAGTCCTCCACAAACAGGGTGCATGCGTGTGTGTGTGTGTGTGTGTGTGTGTGTGTGTGTTGGGGGTTGGGGGGAGGTTGATCTAAGTACTAGAACGTAGGACACTATATTAGGAAAGTAACTAACACTCTAAATCAGTGGTTCTCAACCTTCTGGCCTTTAAATACAGTTCCTCATATTGTGACCCAACCATAAAATTATTTTCGTTGCTACTTCATAACTGTAATGTTGCTACTGTTATGAATCGTAATGTAAATATCTGATATGCAGGATGGTCTTAGGCGACCCCTGTGCAAGGGTTGTTCGACCGCCAAAGGGGTCGCGACCCACAGGTTAAGAACCGCTGACTTAGACTGTCACTTTTAAGGAAAGCAATCTTTACCCCATTTCTGGGGTAGTGTTTGTTCATGTGGTCATCTGTTCACTTAAGTCCTACATGCCTCATCCTCCGCCCCCCCAGCTGAAGGCCAGGTGATGGCAGAGCAGAATTAGTAAAGGGAAGTGATTAGTAAATGCTCTTTAGATGTCAGCCATCAACTTTTATGACTTAGCAAGGGGCTGTGCCTTTAATTCACAGTAAATTTGGCACCTGGACCAGGATCCTACTTCTCCCTCCACCAGTCTTAGGGCCATCCCTCTTGTTTCTCTGGGGCGTCTAACAGAGAATTCACTGTTTGGTCTACACTGGAACACTCTGTCTTGGTTCTTCTTGCACTGGCTTTCCCAAGGTCAGAGATCAGAATTCCTCAGTGTTTGGACTTGCATAGGCAGAAAATACTATCGAATTGATTTCTGCTGTCCCTTCTCCCTCCCTCTCTCTTCCACGGAACACCCACCCATCTATTATCTTAGTGAGCTGTATCTCAGATACCTGTGGAATAGATCAATCCAAGCAGTTGCATTTCAAATGGTTTAGAGCTTGTCAATCAATATAAATTCAGAGCCCCTGGAAATATCCTTGTTCTAAAGATTAAGGGCACTTACAGCCTGGTTAATTAATTTCACTTGATCAAGAATATCTTCAGGCAGAACAAGAAAACTACTATTATACTCCATATGTCTGCAAAAAGTTTAATAGTGGTTTAGAGTGTGGGCTCTGGAACAATAATGCTAATTTGGATCCTGGTGCCACTTCTTGACATAAGTATGACCTTGCACAGGTAATCCAAACTTTTTATTGCTTATCATTCTTGCCTGTAAAATAGGGATAAGAATGGTACCAATCTCATAGGGCTGCCGAGGTAAATGAGTTAACACACATGTAAAGTGACTGCAATAGCATCTGGCCCGTAACAACCCCTCAATTACTTGGAGCTAATGGCAAAATTAAAAACTAGACCCTGCCCTGGCTGGTTTGGTTCAGTGGATAGAGCGTCGGCCCTCAAACTGAAGTGTCCCAGGGCTCGATTTCAGTCAAGGACACAATGTTTCTTTCTCTCCCCTCTCTCCCACTCTCTCTAAAAATAAATATATAAATAAAAATAAATGGAAAAATATTCTCAGGTGAGGATTAACAACAACAACAATACAACACTAGACTCTGGCAACTTTATTGGCAGCCACAGAAGAAATGAGTTGATAGGAACAAAAGGAATTCCTAGAGACACTGCCGACAAAACTTTACCAAAAGCCCCAAGTATGTTTTGTGAAATGACTAACAGAATCGGCTCCCAGTGAAAGCTTAATCTTTCCTTATTCTTTTCTTTCAAGTATGCCCTTCAACCCAACTAACCATAAAGACTGAAGCGCTTGGCTACCTTTCAGAAAGAACCTCTCACTCTTCGGAGTGACTAAATTTCATTCCTGGCCCCAGAGGACTGGTAGAGATTCATTTTTACTTAATCACCAGGCCTCCCAGGGCATCTCACTCCAGCACAGCTGGGAAGCAGCGGCCTTCAATTTACATTCCAGATCCTCAGAATTAAGGATAAGAGAAAGCATATTGCTGGGGGTGGGGAGAAGCGAGAGACAGTCCTTTAATTCGCGAATCGATAGTGGGTTTAAATAAAGTCGTCATCTGGGAAGTTAAACTGGTTTGGGAGAGGGGTCACCACAAACTGAAAACGAGCAGTTGACAACCCCAAGACAGACAAAAAAAAAAAAAAAAAAAAAAAAAAAAAAATGCCTGTTGGCAGGTGCTTGCTTGCAGGCGACAGAGGGCGAAGTGATGGAGAACCAGCGGCGGGGAACCGTGCCTCCACCGCTACCCCTTTCTCCGGACGCTGATGTAGTTCTCCCCTGGGAGCATCAGCCTCCCTCAGTGCAGCCAGTCGGTTCCCCAGGGCCCTGCATCCGAGGCCGGGGGCAGAAGGAGTGGCGGTTTGGGAGCTGAGAGGTTGACACGTGAGAAGTAAATAGAAAACGGGCGATACGCGGCTGCCTCCCCTACGCAGGCTCCACCTTCGGCCCAAAGCGCGGAGGGCGAGCCGGGCCGGCGGAGGAGGCGCAGCGCTCCTGAAGGCCCTGGGGCGCTGGGGGCGTGGGCACCGGGGCCCGCACTCTCCCGAAGCAAGACCCCCGCCCTTCCCACCTCTCCCGCTTCTCCGGGGACTCCGAGAGGCGCACCCCCGGGCTTGGAGGCCCGCGCCCGCGATCCTCGGCGGGCAGGGCTAGAGCGCGCTCACCTGTACTGGTCGTACTTGGCGTACACGGACCACTCGGCGGGGTCGCTCTCGTAGGCTTCCATGACGGCCTGCACCTCCTCCACGTTGACCTCCTCGCTGGCGAAGAGCTGGTGCAGGATGCGGATCAGATCGGTTAGCGTCCGTGGCTTCAGCACCTCGGTCTGCTCCATCCTTTGCAGAGCTGGCGGCACGCCTTTCTCACTGCGGGGCTTCAGCGAAGGAGCTGAGAGAGCCTAGGAACCGGGGACGAGGGACCCGAGCTGCCAGCCAGACAGCTCCACACACACACACACACCGCAAACACTTGAGAGCCACAGATAAAAGAATCCCTGGCCAAGAGACCAAGACACCCACACCGGGGCGGCGTGGACCTGCGATCTAGTAGGACGTGCGCCGTACACAAATCAGGACCGAATCCGCTGGGTTTAGCCTCCCCGGCCCTTTTTAAGCTCTCGGAGTCAGCGGGAATGTACCAATGGCCCTCGGAGGGTGGGGAGAGGCGGGTGCAACCTGAGGAAGGTGGCGGCGACGGAGAGCGTGCGGGCCAGGCTCACGCACCCAGCGTCCGCCCTCCCAGCCATGCAGCCCCCCCGCGAGCCCTTCTCTCGCGAATCCCCGCACTCGCGGTGGGCGGCGCGCAGTCCCTCCCTCACATTAACAGGCTCATTTTGGCCTCCCATCCCCACCCCCTTGCACACGCCCCTCCGCCGGCGTTCCCGGGGAGGTTACTTTTGGCCACCGGGGTTTCACATCCTGGGACGCAGACCACTGGGTTCGGGAGAGAAGGGCTGGGGGTAGATGCTGAAGAAGGAAGGGGCCCTTCCCGTCAGAGAGAGCTGAGGAACTGTGAAGAGCTTGTGAAGGTTGAGGATGGATTCCACGTCCAAGATGGAGATCTGTTTTGATCGATTGAAACTATAGGTAATATGCTTTAGGCTAAGGTGAAAAGTCGAAGTCTTAAATTAAAAAAAAAACACACCTCCTATTGAATTTATTGGCGTGACATTGGTGTTAGGAGTACAATTCTATAGTACATCATCTGTATATTGTATTGTGTACTCTACTGAAAGTACATTTTGACAAAGGAGACTCGGCTGTCCAGCTAGATTAGCAAGTAGAACGATAGAAGGCCAGGTATCCCTCTTTGATTTTAAAATCAAACATTACCTAAAAATTATTCAGTGGAAAGACCTATTTCAATTCATGGTGAAAGGAAATGCTGTGTGTGTGTGTGTGTTTGTGAGTGTGAGAGTGTGGTATTTTTTTTCTCCCAATGCAGTATTTAAAGCGTTCTACTAGCCTATGGTCGGCAAACTCATTAGTGAACAGAGCCAAATATCAACAGTACGATGATTGAAGTTTCTTTTGAGAGCCAAATTTTTTAAACTTAAACTATATAGGTAGGTACATTGTTAAAACTTAATTAGGGTACTCCTAAGGCTTAGGAAGAGCCACACTCAAGGGGCTAAAGAGCCACAGTTTGCCGACCATGGTAGGCTAGACTATTTAAATACATTATTTCTAGAAGCAGTGCTTGGAGAACAAGGCAAATTAAGTATGAATGAAAATAAGAAAAATGTGAGGGACAGAAGAAATGCAAGTGTAGATTCCTTTTTTCTCATTAACGGACCCAGGGGATAACTTGGACTCAAGATTATTAAAGGTCTAAACTTCTGGAAGACTAGTCTTTTTTCTTTTTCTAGACGTTGCTTTAATGTATATATATACAGGAGTGGGCAAAAGTAGGTTTACAGTTGTGAGTACACAGAAATTTATTCTTGATTTTTCTATTCATTGGCATTATAATAATGATTTATTACTTATGATGTATCTTTTAGGTAATGATGGCTGGTAATTTAACCTATTTTTGCCCACCCCTGTATGTATGAGTGTATTATATTATGTACAAATGTACTTGTGCTAACAATGTTCTTCAGAAGTACAAATGACAGCTCAATCACCATTGTTCTGAAAGGACTTTGGGTAGAAAGCATGCCAGAAGCCAACCTTTTGTGATGTGTTGCAATTAGAGGATCTAGTAACTTAATACTTTAGATCCAGAGAGGTAGTTTTACTGTACTCTGCATTGATCAGGGCAATGACTTACACATTCTAAGACAGTCATTGACATGGGGTGGGTATCCAAAGGAGGGAACCAGAATAGAGGTCTGTAAATATACACTTATCTATCCATTTTTAAAATCATGCACTACATGCCAGGCACTGCTCACAAAACGAAGTCTCTGCCCTCACAGGGTTTATATTCTAATAGGGGGGAGGGCACAGGTAGGCACACCAAGAAATATTACATACAGTATACATGAAGTGGACACAAATACTGTATTCTATTTACAATGGAGGAAAACTAATGCAGGGGGAGGACAGTTGAGGGTGGTAGTATTTTAGAGGGCCTAGGGCAGTGGTGGGCAAACTGTGGCTCGCGAGCCACATGCGGCTCTTTGGCCCCTTGAGTGCAGCTCTTCCACAAAATACCGACTTCTGCGCATGGGCCACGAAGTTTCAATCGCACTGTATGTGCACGCCCGCACGTGGTATTTTGTGGAAGAGCCACACTCAAGGGGCCAAAGAGCCACATGTGGCGCACGAGCCGCGGTTTGCCGACCACTGGCCTAGGGGAACACTTTTTTTTTTTTTTTTTTTATAAAGCTCTCACACATTTATTACTGAACCAACCTACTATTTCAGGGGAAAAAAATCAACAGAGCAAAATCACAAGTTCATTAATCTTCCAATTAAAATGCCCCAACTGTCCAGACAGTAGCATCTTTTCAATCATTTAAGGGTGTAGGCAACCTGGATACAGCACAAATATGTGAGTCATCTCTCATGTGTGATTTCTCATAGGCCCAGTTTGGTTCTTCTCCAATGTCTCTTCGAGTTGTACTTGATTTTATTACCAGTTTTCATCCGAATCCATTGAGGAATGGGACGATTCTGCTTTTGTTTCTTGGCCAGGAACCTCTTGATCCTGAAAGTCGTGTGGGAAGACATGGTGAAGGAGAAGCGAATGCGCGCACCTCCATGGTGGAGAGAAGGAAGCGGAAGGACGTATTTAGTGGCACTGACGGGGTGGGGAGGGGAACACTCTTGATGATGATATTGGATCAGGGACTGAAAGATGTGAGACATAGTTTTCTGAGGGAAGTTTCCAAGTAGAGGAAACAGAAGTGCAAAAGCCCTAGAATGGGAGCAAGCTTAGTTTTTGAATAACACAGATGAACATGGATATGCATGGCAGGGTTTGCAAGTGGGGACTCATCACAGAAGACCTTGCTAGGTCTTCAGCTTTTGCTGATATGGGAGGCCATTTCATCATGCAGACATTGTATCATCTCACATCATCACAAGAAGGGTGAGAACTGTATTTTGAGATACCATTCACATATTACATCATATTGTTATAATTGTTCTATTTTATTATTGTTAAATCTTACTGTATCTAACTTATATGTATGGGTATATCTATGTATGGGAAACTTTATTGTAAGTATGTATATATAGGAAAAAACAATACCTATAGGGTTCAGTTCTATCCAAGGTTTTAGGAATCTACTGGAGGTCAGGGGTAAGGTGGGGACTACTCTAGACAAATTTCTTTTATTATTGTTTTTCAAAGTTAAATTATACTTTGAAAGCCACACTTAATTTCATTCACTTAATATATAATGAATTACTGATTAGGTATGTGTAAGGCAAAGCACTAAGTATTATGTGTGTGGGTACCAAATAAAAACCCCAAAATCCTATTTTTAGGGACATTACAGTCATGAAAGGGTATTGGACACAATATTTATAAGGTAGTATGCAGCAGTGCTTTAATAGTGGTAGTTCACTGTAACTGTTCTTACAAGACAGAGCATCTCCCCCTTGACTGACATGCCATGATATTCTTAATTTAAAAAATCAATTTGCAATGATTATAAAAATATATTGCTCACAATTTGGGTGTTCTTTAATAGTTTCAGCTGAAAATTCTCATGAAAAAGGATTTTAAAGTTGGTCAGGGCTGCCACTTAGGGAAAACATTTTTTTATAGACGCGAGTGGCTTGCGTCTACAGATGCTTATGGCATACAATGGGTTAAGAAACAGAAAAAACAAGCACATTCAGAGAATAGTGAGTAATCCAGTGTGGGTTGAATACTGATGTAGAGAAATAGTACTTGTACTAAACGTGCTGTACTGCTTTCTGAATACGTTTCCTCCCATTATGTGGTTTGTAGCTGACTTACTTGTTGCCAGAAGCTTATCCAGTATAATTCTTGAAAAATGAAGCTGTATGAAAGGTGACTGTCATACCCCTTCCCTTGAACAATGCATTTCCCACTTTGAGTTATACACAACTAAACTGCTATATAATTGAAGGCATAGTCTGCACTTTTCAGTTTTTTAACGTGCTTAGAGCAGATATTTAAGGTTCCTTCAGGGTTAAAACTTCTAGAAATTCAGATTCCAGGAAGTATCCAATCTTTCTTTAAAAAAATATATTTTTATTGATTTCACAGAGGGAGAGGGAGTGAAATAGCAATGATGAGAGAGAATTATTGATCGGCTAACTCCCTGCACGCACCACACTGGGGATGGAGCCTGCAATCCGGGCATGTGCCCTTATCAGGAATCAAACTGAGACCTCCTGGTTCAACCAGTAAGCATTATGAAGTTCTTGGTGTAGATATCTTCTAAGATGGAAGCATAATATTCTAATAATTACATGCCCTCTGTTGCACAGTAAGATAAAGCATGACATTACTGACAATGATTTTCTCATGAACATAAAAAACAAAATATAACCCTCTCCCCCCGCCAAATTTAATTACAGTTAACAGTTTAAACCAGACATCTGCAAAAAAATTTGTGAATTGTGTATAAGGTGCCCATCACCCAGCAATTTAGGGGATCCAGGCTTACAAGTAAGTGTTGCAAAGTTAGCACAGAATAATTAATTATTTGGCTAAGGATTAAGAGATAATAGTGTAAAAGAGATAATAGTGTAAATATGGTTTGTAATAGTGTAAAACCCTGTACTATATCTTCAAGGTTATTATGAAAAAAAACCCACAAGGTATATACATATTTAGCTACCCTTAGATTTAATTAATTAATAAGTTCTTTAGATTAAAAAGGAATAATTAAATTGATGTCACAAACTCAAACTCAAATAGCTTTGATTAATGTAGTAAATATCCCATCACTTAAAACCTTAGTGGCAAATATTAAGTTAAACACATTTTTGCTATTTGTTAAATACATATGTACGTATATACATTCACATCCTTCAGTAACTATTAATGGAGGAAGCTACAGAACAGATCCACATCCAACCTATTTGACTTGAAAATGATAGTACACTTTCCAGCTTCTAACATATATATAAATTTCTTACCTAATCTTACAAGATAAATTTGCACAATTCAACCTGTACTATTCCAGTGCTAACTACTAGCTGTATTCATTTATTACACCGGAACACTGGCATAAGGGGACTTAAGAATTTATTCTTGGACAGAAAATGAGAACTGAACAGCAATTTCATCACTATAAATGGAATTCTTCCTTAGCACCCCCTAATGCTAGTGTATGGCAGATCATTAATCATAAAGTACATTACTTTTGAAAACAAACACTTAAGAGAATTCTTGTACATACTTTAGATTCTGTTTGGACATTCCATTCAATTTATTGGAATGCTTTTTTAATGCTGCATTACAAATATAATACAGAATTTTTAAAAAGTTAAATCTCACCTCAAGCAATTACCAGTCTAATGGCATTAGAAAAAAAGGTACTTTTAGTCATGGCATGAAATACATGTAAAACTAAGGCTTTTGTTCAGTTTTTCTTTGAGCATTTTCAAGTTGAAAAATACATTATAAAAACTCAAAGATGTTGTCACATTTACTTGAGTGCTTTTGATACTGTAAAAGAGACAGAAGACCATCATAGCTATAAACATTGGGACTCCAGAATCATCAAATGTTAGGACTAAAGTAGGTGTATAATTCATTTGTCTAAAGTTTTTTTTTCACAATAAGACAATTAAATCTAAACCTTGCATATTCTCTAAAGCAGCCTTCCAGTGTGTCAACATACATGCTCTCTTGGCTAGATATTTGCTAGAAAGAGTTTTCTCCTCCATTATCATCTGGCAAAGATGTAAAACCAAATTGCTTATTTCTGCCATCTGGGCTGCCCTCTACTGGACTATGTAAGGTATAAAGCCAGCAGGTCAATGAGATTTTCTTTCATAATACTGTAGATATAAATATATACAAGAAAAAGTATATCCCATACCTCAAACTGAACTTCCCAGGAGCAGCACAAAAATAATCTTTTAGTAAACTAAACTGACTTTTACAGTGCTAATTCTACAAGTAAACAATTTCAGTCATTTTAAGAACTCATAAAAAGAGGTTTTATTGCCCTAACCGGTTTGGGTCAGTGGATAGAGCGTCAGACTGCGGACTCAAGGGTCCCAGGTTCGATTCCGGTCAAGGGTATGTACCTTGATTGTGGGCACATCCCGTTAGGGGGTGTGCAGGAGGCAGCTGATCGATGTTTCTCTCTCATCGATGTTTCTAACTCTCTATCCTTCTCCCTTCCTCTCTGTAAAAAATCAATAAAATATATTAAAAAAAAAAAAGAGGTTTTGTTGATTTGTTGATGGCAGCCGTTCTGACAGGTGTGAGATGGTATCTGTTGTATTAATTTGCATCTCTCTGATGATTAAGGACATTGAGCATTTTTTTCATATGTCTCTTGGCCATCTGTATGACCACTCTGGAGAAGTGTCTATTTAGGTCCTTTGCCCATTTTTTAATTGGTTTGTCTTCCTTTTGTTAAGTTGTACAAGTTCCTTATATATGTTAACCCATCAGATGTATCGTTGCCAAATTTATTCTCCTATAGTGGGCTCCATTTTCATTTTGTTGATGGTTCCTTTTGCTGTGCAGAAGCTTTTGATTTTGATGTAGTCCCATTTGTTTATTTTCTCCTTTGTTTCCCCTGCCCTAGGAGATGTATCAGCAAACATATTGCTACAGGAGATGTCTGTGATTTTGCGGTCTGTGGTTTCTTCTAGAATTTTTATGGTTTCAAGACTTACATTTTAAGTCTTTTAACCATTTTTTTTGAGTTTGTTCTTGTGTATGGTGTAAGTTGGTAGTCTAATTTCATTTTTTCGCATTTACCTAACTTTCCGAATACCACTTATTGACTAGACTGTCTTGACTCCACTATATGCGCTTGCCTCCTTTGTCAACAAATGACAAGTGCTGGTGAGGATGTAGAGAAAAGGGAACCCTAGTACACTCCTGGTGGGAATGAAGATTGGTGCAGTCATTATGTAAAACAGTATGGAATTTCCTCAAAAATTAAATATGGAACTGCCATTTGACCCAGTAATCCCACTTCTAGGAAAATACTCTAAGAAACCTAAAAACCCAATCAAAAAGAATATATGCACCCCTATGTTCATAGCACCGCAATTTACAATAGCTAAGATCTGGAAACAGCCCAAGTGCCCATCAGTAGATGAGTGGATAAAAAAAACTGTGGTACATTTATACCATGAAATACTATATAGCAGTAAAAAAGAAGGATCTCTTACCCTTTGACACACCATGGAGGGACCTGGAGAGTATTATGCTAAGCAAAATAAGTCAGTCAGAGACAGACAAGTATCACATGATCTCATTCATATGTGGAATCTAGAGAACAAAATAAACTGGTGAACAAAATAGCTCCAGAGACATAGAAGCATGGAACAAACAGTCAAATCTCAGAGGGACGGTGGGGTGGGTAGGAAGAGATTAACCAAAGAACTTATATGCATAACCCATGGACACAGACAATAGTGTGGTGAAGACCTGTGCAGCCAAAAGGGGTCAATAGGGAAAAAAGGGGACATCTGTAATACTTTCAACAATAAATTAAACAAACATACAACAAACAAATAAGAGGCTTTATACAATCTTAGTCTCCTTTTCAATATCCTGGAAGCATATCTGGAGCAATAGTTGTAATACTATATATACTCTAATGTCAATCTTTCACGATGATTCCTGTATTAATGCAAATCACATTTTTGTGGGTCAACTCTATGGATTTTTTACATGCATAAACATGGGTCTTAGCAGATAACATGCTGAGATCATATCCACAAGTATCTTGACATAAGTATCAAACTTTTCAGAGCTGTGTCCTTTGTGAAGATTCATTTTTAGTTATCAAGATCTTTTTCTCTGTCGTTCATCCCCATGCCTGAGATTTGCAGTAATGTAGGACCAGTTTACCATCACTGCCAAAACACTACAAAAAGAAAATAACAGCAACAAACTTAATTCTTTGATGAAAGAAAAAATGGTATACGTATCATAAATATCCTTATACATGTAGGTGTAAATTATCTACAAAGCTATTTCTTTCAAAAGATGCAAGTTGCTATTTTAACACATCAGTAATCATCCTATGTAATAAATAGGTAATATGCAAATTGACCATCACACCCTCACACAAGGGGGGGGGGCCCAGGCCAGCAGGGGAGGGCAGTTGGGGGTGACCAGGCCTGCAGGGGAGGGCAGTTGGGGGCGATCGGGCCAGCAGGGGAGCAGTTAGGGGCGATCAGGCTGGCAGGCAGGTGAGCGGTGGGGAGCCAGCAGTCTTGGATTGTGAGAGGACTGTCCCAGATTGGAGAGGGTGCAGGCTGGGCTGAAGGACACTCCCCCCACCAGTTCACAAATTTCGTGCACTGAGCCTCTAGTAATCTATATGTATGAGCTTAAGTGACCGTTAAACTGTTCACCTGGTAGCTATGATGCTCCGACCAGTAGAGGAGGGAGCCTCATGGAATCGGCCGTGGGTTAGAGATTGTAGATGGGGCACTGTCAGCCCTGATTCTGCTTCACCTGTACCTCGGACTCAGAGAGGAGGGAGCCCAATTCCACACAGAATCAGCCATGGGTTAGGTTGCCGCTGGGCACTGTCGGCCCTGAATCTGCTTCACCCGCACCCTGGACCCAGAGAGGAGGGGGCTTGATTCTGGGGTGCGTTACCCAAGAACTGCCCACTCATAATCCGGGACACCTTGGGGGATGTCGGAGAGCTGGTTTCAGGTTGATCCCTGCAGGCCAGGCCGAGGACCCCACCAGTGCAGAATCTGTGCACCAGGCCTCTAGTGTTGAATAAAACCTGTCCTTTAAACATCATAGGCATGGATGGGCTTACATATTTTAATCTTGCCCTTTCTCTAAATCTTTTAACTGTAATGTATATACTGTTTTCTACTAGCGGTGCTAATGTGTATACTATAATAATTTTTGTCATGAAACTGTTAGTATGTTGAATACAGTCATTTTTATGTAGACTTCTTTTAAATTTCTTAGAAGCAAATCTGGATTACTAATTATATAAACAATGTAAAGGAAACAAATTAGGCAAAAAAGAAGGCCTTATTTTCTGGACATCTTCTGTTTGTATTATTCATTCCTTAATTCTTTAATCACTGAGTAATTTATTGAGGTAGTAAATGTTCAAGGTGTTAAGAGATATAACAGAAAGCAAGAAAGTAATCTTTTTTCCTGAGAGGCAATTAAGAATAGCATCTCTTAAAATAATGATGTTAATTAATAATACTATTCACAGATGTGCATCTTTTATTAAAAAAATAAAGCAGTTATGTTTTACCTCATAGAGGGTTCCAACTTCCTGGTCAGGGGAAGGGGCAAATGACTGATTCACATAAATAAACTGCAAAAGAAAAAAAAAAAGGCGATTCATTTTTAATGGTATCCTGATTAATCTGTATTTTTCTGGGGTTCAATCAGCCAGCTCTTTCAAATTCTTTGTCTTCAGAATTGAAAGAAATTTCCTTAACCTCTTTTTCCTACTTCTCATAAATCAGTCAACTAACGAGATCTTTATGAAGATTAGTTCCTACCTGGAGGAATAAAACCAGATTTTTTGCTTCTAGAGCAGTGGTTCCTACTTATTAAAACTAATAACTTTTAAATGTTTTTACAAATAGCTTTTGAAGATTTATTCAAGAAATTATTAAAAGTATTACTTTTTCCAACTACTCAGACAGAATTTTTCCAAACAAAACTTCATCCACAGTATAAAATCAGGAAAACTCTGAGATAAAAGTTGGATTTTTTTTTTTACCTTTACCACCACTGAAAACTCATAAAAGTACTGAACTCCAGGCTGGGTGCCACTACTGTAAAGTCACTTGTAGCTAAATAAGATGGTAACATAATGAAACCTAATGTTCTTATAACCTTGTTCTTTAAAGGATTCATTGTTCAATGTTCCAGTTTAGTCTGTTTTCATTAAAACTCTCTAATACATGTATCCTCTGCTTTTTGAAAGTTCATGTTATGAATGACCTACATTAGTACCTGTTTTAACTGAGAAACCCTAAGAGGATTTTCACTTTTATGAAGAAAGCAAAAATAACATTCAGCATGTTTTGCAGGGAGCCATTATAGAAACGGTGAGATTAGCCCTGCCGCCAATCTCTTTCAGTGGGAACTACACTCTGCATCTTGGCAGTAAGCCAGCATAGCTTTGGACTGTGTCTGTAAGCATCTGTGCTTTATCTCAATTTTATACATCTGTTAGCAAGATGTGACCTAAAATATCAGAATGCCTAAAAGAGCTCATAAGGGTGTTATGCTTAGCATAAAACTGGATATAATTAAGTGTATTATGGTTTGGTGGGTTATTTGAGGGGATCTTGGTATGCACAAAATTTTTTCACATAAACTAATGGTAATTACTTTTTTGTTTTATGCCATTTTGGCTTAGAAAAGATTTCATAGGAATGTTCTTCTTTTATATAGTGGGGGAAACCTGTACTTAAAAAAATTACTGCAGATACAAAAGGACAGTGTCTTAGTAGCTTTTGATAATTTTCCTTTTAGAAAATAAAACATTTGCAGGTAACATATCAATTTACCTTTGTCTATAGTCAAATTCTAAGACTAAAATTTCCTGGACTTAATATAGCCTTTAAAGCCCAATAATATCAGAATAAACAGTTGGTTGATAGACACTATTTGGGTCACCAACTGTAATAAAAACAAATAAGACTACATTTCTCCCTTGAGTGATTCAGTGTGGTAATTAAAAACAGAGGCTCTACTGAGACAGATCCAGGTTTAAGTTCTGGCTCTAAACACAAATACCTTTTCTCAGCTGGTTTCCTTATTTATAATATGGAAAATAATAGCACCTATACTTCTTGGAGCTGCTGGGAAACATAAAATGAGATAGCACCAGTGCCTGGTATATGTACTCAATATACATTAGTTTTAATTATTTAAAAATTTCATGTATAAATATCAATTAATGGTTAAGGCTGAGTAATATTTTTTTTTTTTTTTTATTGCTTAAAGTAATACAAAGGGTATTACATATGTGTCCATTTTTTTCCCCCCACCCTAGACAGTCCCCTAGCCTCCCCTATCCCCCAGTGTCTTAGGCTGAGTAATACTCTTAACAAAAACTTCATAAAGTAGAAATCAGTGTGCATTTAAATG